AAAGTGACCAAATTAATAAGTTTAATAGACGTTAAATTAAATAAATTCAATTAATCAAAAGTATGTGATGCTTGCTATGAAATAATTTAATATTTTATTAAAAAAATATTAAAATTCATTGATTATAAAATATTTTTAGATCGCCAAAAGGTTGATCATTTGTTTTATAATCATTGAATATAATTGTAGTCTATTTATATACTAAGTTAATGTATGTTTATATATCCAAAGATAATAGACATGTCTAACTTGAGTACAAACAATTATCAATTATATTAAATATAAGTCAAGCATCAATTATGTTTATTATCGTGTATTGTTATATCACCCAATGGAGATTTCAATACGCTATTATTATTATGATAATTATTTTAATCTGATTTTATATGAATATCTATGTAAGTTTAATGTTCGAAGCATTAATATAAGAGCATGTTTTATTTATTTGCAGTAAGTACTCTTGTTTCTCTTCATTCGCAAGTTTAATTTCTCTGAATGGCGTGAGTAAGTCCAGTTTCACCTTGGTGTTTAGGATCTTGATTTAGCACTCACGACTGAGAAACCCCCTGCTCTTATTGATTATAGTAGTGCTGAGCAAATATCTTTCTATAAAGCTTGGGAAAAATCGAACAAATTAAGCTTAATGTTTATGTGAATGACTGCAGCAAACAACATAAAGTAGACATTTTCTAACACTGAAAGTGCTAAGGAATTTATGAAATTTGCTGAGAATTGTTCTCAATCTGACTTTGCTGATAAGTCTCTTGCTGGGAAACTATTGAGCACGTTAACCAACATGAAATTTGATAGTTCTCGTACCATGCATGAGCATGTTGTTGAAATGACGAACACAGCAGCAAGAGACTTAAGACCCTAGGAATGGAAGTGAATGAAAATTTCCTTGTGCAATTTATCATTAACTCCTTGCCTCCTGAGTATGGTCCATTTCACATGAACTACAACACTATGAAAGATAAGTGGAATGTGAATGAACTACAATGTATGCTCATTCAAGAGGAAGCAAGGCTTAAGAAAAGAACAAATCACTCCATTAATCTCATGGGTCATCAAAGAAGAGCTGTAAAGTAATCTGGAAAGAAGAATGGAAAGGGCAAACAAAGACCACTAAAGATTAATGTGTCATCTGCCCCAATTCACAAAGAGGAATACAAAGGAATTAAGTGTCACTTTTGCAGAAAGTCTTGACACTATCAAAATGAGTGTAAAAAGAGCAAAGGCTGGTTCGAAAAGAAAGGTAAACCTTGTGTTTCTGTATGTTTCGAATCAAATTTGGCAGAAGTTCCTTATAATACCTGGTGGATTGATTTTGGTTGTATCACTCATGTTTCCAATATGATATATGATGCAGGGATTCCTTACAACTCAAATCATAAACCCAAATGAACAATTTGTCTTCATGGGAGACCGAGTCAAAACGCCAGTTGAAGCTATTGGAACCTATCGGTTGATTTTATATACTGGACATCATTCCGAACACTTTATGTCCCTTCTGTTTCTCGTAATTTGATTTCATTGTTTAAACTTGATTCTATTGGATACTCCTTTAAATTTGGAAATTGTTATTTCAGTTTGTTTAAACACAATTATCTCATAGGTTCTGGTATTATTTGTGATGGCATATACAAGCTTAAACTTGAAAACATTTTCGCTGAGACTCTAATGACTTTGCATCATAATATTGGTATTAAACGTGGTTTTATTGGTACTAAA